TCTGTTCTCTGCAACAGAGAATGGAACCGAAGCTGGGGGATGCTTCCATGGCCCTCCGGCGGCTTGATCCAGGCCCTGGCTGACTTCTCCAGGCTGCTGCTGCCTGGAAACGGGCCACCGGAGGGTCGTGGAAGCATCCTCCGGCCTCAGATCTAGGTGGTGCCGGCCTGGAGAAGGCATCCAGCACCTGGATCGGGCTGGGGAAGCGTCCCCCAGCCTCAGATCCAGGCGGCAGCAGGAACCGCAGCAGAGAGGAGACAGATCTTTTCAAGGTGAGTCCGGCGCAGCAGGAAGGGAGGGGGAAGCATGAGGTATCTTAGTGAGTCGGGAAGGCCTTGGGGGCCAGCTCCATCACTAGCCCCTCCATGGCGTTCCCCCCAAGATACCTCATGTTCACTTAACGAGCTGCATGCGTTTTAAGGAGCAAGGGAGTGATTTCCTTCGAGGTACAAAATTCACTCCAAGTTTTCAAGTTATGAGTGGAATGGGCAGGCTCCCTTGCACTTGTAACTCGAGGACTACCTGTATAGAGCACTATTCAGAGAACTTTAGAAATCAGATTTGACTTGAAACCACAATTCTTCTTACTAGGCATAATTCCAAAATGCTAACAACAATAATCACTGAGAGACATGTTTACGCCAGCAAGGATAAATTTAGCCCAACACTGAAAAGGAGATGTGTTACTTAAAATATCAGACTGGAAACTTAAATTTGGAGAATATGCAGTAATAGCAAAAGTAACAGCATATATTCACAAGAGGTTTAATCAAACTTAAGCAAGAATGTGTCCCATACATATCACATATTGCACAGGAAGTAAAATATAAGTATCTAGAGTATAATTTTTAAGGGGAAAAAGATCCAATTTAAGTTTTTTAAAAATGTCTATAAACATTGTATGTTAAGCAAAGCATGATAAATAGCTAAAAACTAATGTTTTACTTATACCTTTCTTTTCAGTAGGTATTTATTTATTTATGAGACTTATATACAGCTTTAAGTGCAAGCACTCTCTAAGCGGTGTACACCAGTAAGCAATGTATATATATTTACATTGCCCCTAACAATCTGGGTCCTCATTTTACCTACCCCAGAAGGATGGAAGGCTGAATCAACCTTGAGCCGGTGAGATGTGAACCGCTGACCTGCTGAACACAGTCAGCTAAAGTGGCCTGCAGTACTGCACTCTAACTGCTGCGCCACCTCGGCTCTTTTTTTGTATTTTTAAAGAAGATTTATTTAGGCTTAACTCAAGATATCAAAATTCCTTCTGTTAAAACAGTGGTTCTCAACCTGTGGGTCGGGACCCCATTTGGGGTCGAACGACCATTTCATGGGGGTCGCCAAACAACGCAGTCCACCATTTTTTCCCCCCTTTTCCTTAGCTGTGCTATTCCCTTTTATTCTATTGGCTTTTGAAAGCCAATAGAATAGACTCTCTTGAATAGAGTCTAATTCTATTGGCTTTCAAAAGCCAATAGGAATTGTCCAGGCTATCTCTGCCCTGCTGAGCCCGCCAAAAGTCCCATTCTGCAAATGGTGCTGCACCAGTTGAGTAGTCCTCGACTTACGACCGGTTGGGGGTCACGGCATTAAAAAGGTTGAGAACCACTGTGTTAAAATGTTATGTACTTAATTGTAACTTATTGTTTTTTATGGTCGATTTCTAGTCAAACATGCTGAGCACTAACTGTACGATCTTAATCATTACTTTGTCCACTTACATATTTCTCTGATTTTTTTCCTTTTCTCTTTTTGCTTACTTGCTCTTGTTTCTTTTAAAAATATTAATAAAAATTAAAAAGATCACACATTTCTCCGCAAACCTACGCCCCTCTATTAAAAGCAATTTAAAAGAACATAATTAAGAATACTTACTCTGATTATATAATAGAAGCAGAGTCAGGGGTAGAGGGAGTCCTGTATTCACCATATAGGTAGTCCTTGACTTATGACCACAATTTAGAATTTTCATTGCTAAGCAAGATAGCCATGCCCAATTTTACAATGTTTTTTTGTCAGGGTTGTTAAATGAATCATCACAGTTGTAACGTGAATTTGGCTTCCCCAACTGACTTAACTTGCAAAGCTAGGAAGGCTGCAAATAACAATCACATGACTGCAGGATTACAAACACATACCGGTTGACAAGCGCCTGAATTCGCAATGGTCGTATATGCAAGAACCGGTCGCATGTCAGTTTTTTCAGCACCGCTGTAACTTTCAAACTGTCACTAAATGAATGGTTGTAAGTCAAGGATTACCTGCAACCATCTGATAAAGGTGGGCCAAAACCTCCTTTTGGGGACCAGCCTGACCAATTATCATGGAAGCACATTCAGCATTACTGATCTGTTAGTAGATATGGAGAGATCGTATACTATACAACCGAATAGATGTACATATAATGTATTTAAACACAGAGGCTGCATATGTCTGATTACTCAAATTACTTACTTCAGTATATCAATTGATCGGTTATGCTGAAGGAGACAATTTGTGAGAATACAGTCTAACATGACTAAAAGCCAAGAGACTGATAAGAAATCAGTCCATTACGAGAACTAGGGCTAGGTAGAAACTGTCCCTCTAGGTCAGTGGTTCTCAACCTGTGGGTCGGGACTCCATTTGGGGTCAAATGACCATTTCACAGGGGTCGCCAAACAACGCTGTCCGCCATTTTTTTTCCTTTTCCCTAGCTGTCCTACTCCCTCTTATTGGTGGCCACACCCACTTGGGGGTCACCACAACATGGGGAACTGCATTATGGGGTCACAGCATTAGAAAGGTTGAGAACCACTGCTCTAGGTAGAAACTGTCCCTCCTAACTAAAAGAAAGTGGCTTCTAAACCATTACAACTTGGATACATGAGAGAAAGAGGCACAGAAATTTGAATCTTGATTTCATTTATCAACTGGGCTTGTATTTGATATGCAGGTCACTGGAATCTTTTTCATAATGTCTTATTACCTTTAATAGTAGGCAATAATAAATTACTTAGCAGAGCTTTGGTGTCTTGAAGGTCTACCACAGTTCCTTGTCTTGCTAGTTAAGAGAGCTGATACCATTTATCATTTCCCTGCACTACTGGTTAAAACAAAACCATACAGCCTCTTTTACTTGGCACACCCAGCATATTTGAAGCACCTTTCTTGTCCTTTATAGTGCTTTATTAGTCACACTGTATTTTATTGTTTTTATAATGTAAGATGCTCAGAATTGTCTGGAACTGTGCAGCATCTAAATGGAATAAATTAGTTCATCATTCATCTTCCCACTCCAGTTCGAAATAACTGGCCAATTTAGTATTCAGAATAATTTGAAGAAATCCGCATTCAACTCTCAGAGAATTACTGGCTCTTCTGAAACTTGTTATGCTTGAAATAAATTATGCAGATATTTTAATAAATATGTATTATCAGGATCCCTATAAAGAAGGGTACTTCAATCCTTGGTCAGAATAAATCACTTGCATCAGAGAGCTGCAAATTACATGAATATAAACAAAAAAAAAACCCTTTTTAGCATCTGCTGCTTTAAATAAAATGATATAGTTTATGCATAACAACTTTTACTTGTAAGATGTTGCAGATTTTAAGAATGCAATAACTCTGATATAACTATTAAACCAGGATAGCTAGCTATTCAAATGTGGTTAAAACTGGGCTTCACAAATGTCAGGATCAAATTGGGCATTGTCCTATTCATACCTTTTCTCAGTACAAATGATTATAAAATCCGGCATTATTCAGAACATATGAATAGGAACACATTTTCACGTTAGTTTCCAGGAATTGGAGCTATATTGTTCCTGAAAATACTTATAAAATATGTCTCATTGTCATTCTAAATGAATCTATATGGACTATTATGTACAATTCACAATGTAATTATCCTATCTTATTGGCTTGCCCCCCCCCAAGTTTATATATGGCCTTTCTCTGCCCTATAGACTAATATAGTCCCAATGCCTGGATTCCCCTGAAGTCCTTTTATGAAACTGAGGAAAGGTGTACATTTCTTCAAGAACATATGTTTATGCTATAGGACCATAAAAGCTGTTCCTGCACTAATTATTGCTAACTTCGGAAGGTCCAAGTTCTATATACAAATATTCAAGTGCTGGCAACATTAAAAATATTTTTACAAGAAACTTCAAATATTTAAAGAACTGAGACTATGGAACTAAATTGAAACACTGCCCAAGAATAAAGGCAGGACAAGAGGCAAGAGATGGAAACTGATCAAGGAAAGAAGCAACCTAGAACTAAGGAGAAACTTCCTGACAGTTGAACAATTAACTAGTGGAACAACCTGCCTCCAGAAGCGTTGAATGCTCCAACACTGGAAGTTTTTAAGAAGAGACTGGACAGCCATTTATCTGAAATGGTATAGGGTTTCCTGCCTGAGCAGGGAGTTGGACTAGAATTCAGTGTTTCTCAACCTTGACAATTTTAAGGCATGTGGACTGCAACTCCCAAAATTCCACAGCCAGCCATGCTGGCTGTGGAATTCTGGGAGTTGAAATCCACATGCCTTAAAATTGTCAAGGTTGAGAAACACTGGACTAAATGACTTACAAAGTCCCTTCCAACTTTATTATTATTATAAATTAAAGCCAAACAAACATCAATCCACCAATCAACTTACCTTATATGCTAGAAGAAAATTAGACACAAAAAGAAATCTAAAGAGAAGTTGGCTTTTAACTGATCCTACTCCCAGGACAGAAATGTCAAACCCACGGCATCATGCAACATATCAGAACTTTTTCCCCATTTCCGGCAATGGGGTAGGCACGGTTTTCTCATGATGCATCCGGCCCACGGGCCAGCAGTTTGACACCCCTGTCCTAGGACAAGAAACTTAAAATAATCATAAACATGTAGAAAATGTATTGAACATTGACATGCAACCAACCACACTCTTCCAGCGTTATAAATAAAACAACTCAAATGAATTATACCCAATCCCATTCCACTATAATAGATCTCACCTGGTAAACATCCTTGCTCCCTTGCTCCCTTGATGTAGGATGGAGAGTCAAAAAACACTCTCTTGGGGGAGGGGGGCCTCTTGACACCCCCTCCCCCTTCCAAGCTGCTTCTTGAAGAATCAGTGCAGATACCCCAAAATGAGTGGTGCTTCTTTAGCTGCCTAGATAGATCTTCTTATGCCAGAAATATGAAAAAGTACTCGTGTAATCTTTGCCACTACCTCAAGGTTTATGACTTGGTTTTCTGATCTCAAAATAATTTCCCTCAAGTCTTTAAGGTTCTTAAAGAATTTTCCATCTCATAACATAGATGTCCGTTCTACAGTACGATGTCCATTCTACAGTATGTGTACTGTTGAGTGCGCAAGTCGCAATGTCCCATTATCATATCTTGGCTGACTCCTCAGATCTTGTCCTCAGACTTAAATCCGTCCGTGGAATAGTTCTCAAAGGCAAACACAAACAAACATAATTGTTCTGGATTTAAATTATTCATGAAGGATCTTCTTCCAGTTGTTCCGGTCTCAGCCACCATGCCCTGCATAACATGTAAATCCAGATTAGAAAACATTTCTGATCTTGGGATAAGTTATTGCCACATGGTTTGACCAATATTGATAATTCCAGAAGTATAGTTGGGCTTCAAGTTTTCCCTTTATCCAGGCTTCTTTTTTTGCTTTCCGTTAACAAAATCTAAAATTTTAGGCGCAGCAAAGACATTCTCATGGAAGCAACAGAGGTTTTCTCCACCATGTCACCTCCAGAATTAAGGCAAGAGAGAATCTGCCACTCACTTATCTCCTCATATAGGGGGTGCACATGCATCCACTGTACATCCACTCACCCCTCCACCTATATACCCTGCCCAAACCCAGTTTGGGAGATATCTCCGCTGACATCTCAGCTGCCAATCAGAAAGGCCAATACTAGACTAGATAAACCAATACTCTGGCCCAGCATTAGGTAGCTCCTCATGTTCTTCTCTGTTATTAATGCTGCGGTAGTTCATGCACCCAGCTTTAGGAGTTTTTCTCATTGGTTCCCTTTCAAAATTGAACGTCGGGACTTGTTCGTGCGCTATCTCGCCCTTCCTCTCTTCAGCAACGTCCTCTTCCTTCCCTCGCCACAGGTTTTATTAAAGAAGACAGTCATTATCTGGAGAGCAAAGCTGGCGTCCTGAGGTCCGCGAGCCCCGCGCCCCCTCCCGGTTCCTCCCCCAAACTGCCTCGGCCATGCTCTCCCTCTGGGAGCCGTTGCCCTCCCTCCTGCGAGCAGTCAGGGTAAAACGGGACAACCGCCTGCTCCGTCCTCCCCCCCCCCCCTCGCTTACACTGACCGACAGCGACGACGCCAGACACAAACCAGCACCAGAATTCCAGCCACTTCCGCCTGGCAGCGCCGGAAGCGAACCCATGGCAACCAGCCGTTTCACCCACGTCCCGCCCTTCGCTGCTCTCCCTGAAACCGCGCCCCCTTCCTTCGAACGTAGTATACGCGCCGCGGCATGGGGGGGGGCTTCTTCCACAGGAGCCACGCCCTCTCCCTCCTCCCCTGTTTCTGATAGGGGAGATGAATCGTTCTTTTACTGGGACGGCCACGCCCACTCCCGGATCGTAGGCGTCTCCTCGTAATAGCGATGCTTCTCCTCTTCATTAACACCAATGTTTATATAATGACGTAAAAGCCATAACTGCTCAGTTCGTAGCCACGCCCTCTCTGCTTCGAGCGCTCCAATCTTCGCCCAGCGGGCTCATCAAAGCCACGCCCTCTTTTGTAACTCCTTTGCGTTCTTAGGTTGCGTCCGTGAGTCTCTTCTGCCCCCTAGCGGCGGAGAATAACCGCTTGAAATTCGGTCGGGGTTGAAATGGGAAATGATCAGCCTCTAGAAGGCGGAAATGGGCAAGTAGTTGATGCCATTTTTGGCTTCTGCAGAAGTTTTCCCAGTTGCAATATATGGCTGTGAAAGTTGGACCGATAGGAAAGGCTGAGTGCCAAAGAATTGAGGCCTTTGAACTATGGTGCTGGAGAAGACTCCTGTGAGTCCCCTGGACTACAAGGCAATCAAACCAGTCAGTCCTAGAGGAGATCAACCCCGACTGCGCTTTAGAAGGCCAGATCCTGAAGTTGAAACTCAAGTACTTTGGCCACCTAATGAGAAGGAAGGACTCACTGGAGAAGGGCCTAATGCTGGGAAAGATTGAGGGCAATAGAAGAAGGGGATGACAGAGAATGAGATGTGGCTGGATGGAGTCACTGAAGCTGTAGGCGTGAGCTTAAATGGACTCCAGAAGATGGTAGAGGACAGGAAGGCCTGGAGGAATGTTGTCCATGGGGCAGGGATGGGTCGGACATGACTTCGCAACTAACTACAACAACAAGTTCAAAATAATGCAGAGTAAAAACCTGTATATGAGTCCAGTGTTTACAACTCTCTACCCTAAAACTTCCCCAATTAATTGATTGATTACATATCATCAAATCATTGTTGGCTCTTAGTGATCACATAGATTTCTCCACAATGAGCTGTCATCAAGCTGGTCCTTCAGATCTTCCAACAGTGCTCCCATCGCCACTGTAACTGAATCATACATGTTTTCTTGGCTGTCCATGCTATTCTCAGGAGCCTTCTTCAACACCAAGGTTCAAAAGTAGATGTTTCCTATCCACTGTTTCATTTCCGCAGTCACAGGGAACACCATCACTTGCACAGTTCTGAACTTTGAAAGTATACAGATAGTCCTCGACTTACAACCATTCATTTAGTGACTGTTCAAAGTTACAACAACAGCACTAGCAAATAGCATTTACACTTACATACTGCTTTACAACACTCTCTGGACAGCACTGAAAAGAGTGACTTAGGCCGTTTTTCACGCTTAAAACCATTAGAGCATTCCTACGGTCACGTGATCAAAATTTGATGTTTAGCAGCTAGCATGCATTTACGGTGACCTCTGTGACTTTCTGACAAACAAAGTCGATGGGGAAACCAGATTCATTTAACAACCATGTTACTAACTTAACAACTGCAATGATTCACTTAACAACTGTGGCAAGACAGCTTGTAAAATGGGGCTAAACACAGCTAACAACTGTCTTGCTTAACACCAGAAATTTTGGGCTCAATTGTGATCAGAAGTTGAGGACTACCCATATACACATCATAGTATTAGAATATCTCTTCCAAGGCTTTCATGGCTGTTCTATCATGGCTAGTCTGTTTCTTCACTGCTTGTTCCTTTGCTGTTGATGATTGATCCTAAAAGGCAGAAGTTATCCATCACTGGATGTCTTCCCTGTCAAAAATTGGGTTGCTGTGTCCCTTATGATAAACAAAACTTCTCTCATCAAAATTATTTGTTGCATGAAACTCAATATAGTATTTTGTAAGGCAAGAATTGAGAGTGAAGAATTGCCTCCGAAATGGGAAGCATGGTGTGGCCCCAACGCTGCAGAAGGCTCCAATAGCCCCCCCCCATCTTTGTTGCCCCTTCCTGTCTGGGGGGTGGGTGGAGTCAGGCAAATATTGACCTAGGATAGTTCTTTTCACATGCCTGTTGACTTTTTGCCCAGACTCTTGGTGGGTTAAAAAAACATGAAAAAGCCAAATGAATTTTCAATACTAATAAAATTGTGGAGGAAAAAAACCTTGTTTCTGGAATTTGTTGTTAAAAACAAAAGCCAGTATGACATTCTATCTTCCTTTCTCAAACTTTTTTTTTGATATATGAGCATATGCTTTAAATAAAATTAAACATTAGCAAGAATGCCATTTTACCATCTTTGAAAACTGAAGCATGCTGTGTGCTCAGATATGAAAGAAAGCGTACAATGCTACTAAGATGCATTTTAATAAGCTGTATGTTTAAAAAAAACTGTTCTCACTTTGCATTATGGAGCACATCCAGTTGCAGAGGTTGCCAATAAAAGCTCCTTAAAGTCTGCCAAGCACCAGCAAATTAGCCAACAGGGCAGTTTATCTGAATCCAAGATTGTAAGCCAGAGACTTAAATGAGATCCAATAAAATCAAATAAAATATAGCATGTAGATGGCATACAAACTAAGCAGCAACAAAGCAGCCATCAAAGTTAGAGATAGTGTGAATTAATATCTAATAAGAATACAGCTGAATGCAATTGAAAAGCCTGGGAAAATAAAAAAAGATCTTTACTTGATGCCAAAATGATGCTAATATTGGTGCCAGTCATACCCGACAGAAATTACAGGTTTGTTATGGCTTCTGCTTATCGATTCTAGGGAATCCACTTAGAGCCACACAGCATAGTAATGAATGAATTTGTAATGAATTAGTAACATTGGAGTGTGGGAGAATGGTGTGTTTCTAAAATGTAGAAAATATTGGAATTTAGCTCATGACACTGATTAATTGGCCAGCAAGAAGCCTTGTCTCAGCCCACATACTATAATGAACTGGTGGATTTGAGTATGTTGAAAGAAGAACCTGTTGTGGGAGGACAGCACCTGCCCCCCCCTCCCGAGAAAGAAATATTTAGGAAATATTAAAAGGCAGAATATATTTCCCCAAAGAATCTTAAAGGCAGAAAAGCAAACCCAGTTTTTCTTAATAGCCCCAAGCAGAAACTAGGCAGAGGACAGCTTTTAGAAATGCAGATGCGATAATCCTATTCAGAAAGGTTGGAGCCAAGAAGCTAGAAGCTGATGAAATTAGAAAGACAAAGACACCTAAAATCTACATACCCCACCCAAACTCATGACCTTTAGGACATAATAGTATTAACCCACTACCATCAGAATACCAGAACGGCAGACTGAATCCCAGGTCAAATTTCATGCCACAGGAACAAGAAACAACCTCAAGCGGTTCCGGATCGCGGTGCCTTTGGATATATGGTGAGAGTTCCCTCCCCCGCCGTCTGGTTTCTTTCCATCGAAAGACCCTGGAAATGGTCAAAACTCGCCCTGGAGGGATGACCACCACTGAGGAGGACCCTCGCCTCAGCATGGAAGGGCGGCAGCCCTCCCGCTTTAGCTGAGGCAGCTCCTTTGGATCAGTTTCTGGCAGGCCGCAGACCAGGGGTTGGGGACCTCTGTTCTATGTCACAGTATTAACTGTCATCAGCTGTGTATTTTCTTCTGCTTAAAATCTTTAATCTCCTCTAGTGTTCAGTTTCTAAAATCAATACTTACCTTTTTTCATGATTTACAATTGCCAGCTTGTTGCCAAAATAAGTCTGTTTCCCATGACAAGTTGTTTATTTTTTATTTTTTAGTCCAATCTCTTATAGTAAAAGTCAATATACCAAATGTATATGGAAGCTTAATACATTTATAACTTTCTTAAATCAAAATCTTTAGCTATTTGCTGTTTATTACCCATTCTTTAAGTTCTTGGGCTTGTGATTCTTTCTTTCTTTTTTTTGTTCAGAACTGCAGAAAAATTATCCCCATGAAGATTTTTCAAGCCTGTTGTTCCACAGGGCTCTAACAGTTTTAGAATAGTTAATAGTCAATTTCTGAAAATGTTAGAAAGTGAGGTTTACAAATTCAATATCCTTTAAAAGTCTTTGCCGTGTTTGTGAGCAAGATGGCTGATTCTATAATCTTTTGGCACTCAGATTCAAAATAAAACCATTGTCCTGTAATCTCCTCATGAGGAACAGCCATTTGGAGCACATGTGGGAAATCTCCAATCCTCTCCTTATCCAGAAAGTTTCCAGAGAATTAGTTTATTTACTGCACTGGTTCCTTGGTCTTCACCACAGTCATCGTCTCTGCTTTCACAGAGCCATCTTCAGTTCACCTTACTTCCCCTGAAAGTTGAGCCACATCGCTTCTCAGTTTGGATCAGCACATCACTTACATAAGAGCTATTACAGTGTTGAAAGAAAAATCTTCATCAGGGTCCAGTCCAAGCCGGTAATAAACAAAATGGAGACTTCTTTAGAAAATCTGGACAGACTTGAACACTGGGCACTATCTAACAAAATAAAATTCAATGGTGAAAAAAGTAAGGTTCTACATTTAGGCAAGAAAAACCAAATGTACAGGTATAGTGTAGGGGGTTGCTCAATAGTAGTAACTGTGAGAGGGATCTAGGAATCCTAGTGGACAATCACTTAAATATGAGCCAGCAGTGTGCTGCAGCTGCCAAAAAAGTCAACACAGTGCTAGGCTGCATTAACAGAGGGATAGAATCAAGATCACATGAAGTATTAATACCACTTTACAATGCCTTGGTAAGGCCACACTTGGAATACTGCATCCAGTTTTGGTCACCACAATGTAAAAAAGATGTTGAGACTCTAGAAAGAGTACAGAGAAGAGCAACAAAGATGATTAGGGAACTGGAGGCTAAAACAGATAAGGAACGGCTGCTGGAAATGGGTATGTCTAGTTTAATGAAGAGAAGGATGAGGGGGGGGACATGATAGCCGTGTTCCAATATCTCAGGGGCTGCCACAAAAAAGAGTGAGTCAAGCTATTTTCCAAAGCAC